AGGGAATTCCCTGTACTATGAGTATCGGAACAACGGAATTCACTCTGGGACACTTACCAGAGGTCAGGTTTTAAAATCAAAGCACTTAAATTTACTTTATTTGACTTCAAACCAAAAAAATATATATATAAATAATAAGATAAGAATCGATAACCGATGGGGGAAGCGAGTTCTTGAGTGGAGACCACGTCACGGCCAAAGTAGTGTAGGACTCCTCCCAGACTCGTCCTCGGACTCTTGCCAGATGGAGTGATGATATGTGAAAGGCAGTAGCTGGATGCGACCAGGGTTGTTGCTGATGCAAGCTATTTTCACATCACGGACTGATGAGGACGCTCATTTTACGTATTTAAAAAAAAGTCTATCTACATGAAAATGCTTTAAATAAATAAATAAATAATAATAAATAACGCACACACTCAACATTCTATTGTCTTTGATATTGTAATAAAATAATTTTAATGATTTTGTGATATCTATTCACAAAACAATCAATTTGCATGAAAACAATCAATCTGCCTGGCTTGATCCTCGTGGAATTGTATCAAAATTATATTTAAAAAACAACAGCTGAGCTAAGGTTTGTTTGAAAAAACTAATGTACACGATTTATATCCGAAAAAATAGTTAAATTTCCTATGGTAACGACCACGAACACCTAAAATCTCGATAACAGTGGGATTCTCATGTGGGGCAGATATACAAACCATGTTTCTTTAGATTTGTTCTGTGTAGGTACCGTTTACGTTCTCAGGTTTATCTCAGAGAAAAGTTTAAGGAGACTGGTATCATGACTGTGGCATCGCAGTACATTTACTCAAATATTTTATATGCCCGTAAAAATATACATGATTTCGTTAAGAATGAAGATATCCATAATATTAACCTTAGAACTAAGTCCAAACTCATGTTACTGCGATTTCGTTTAACTAAGGTCAACGATTCTGTTATGGGGAACTGTATACGTTTTTGCAATAAGTTTCCAGAGCATTTGCACTATATTACATATTACAAAATTGTAGACTACGTGTTAGATAAAGAAGTATGTAAAGACAACATGAGTCCTAGATTCCACACAACATTTTACACAGTTTATTTGAAAATAGCAATTCTTAGAGTTTCTTAGCTCGTTCTTCTCGGGGAAGTCGGCACAGTGAACGAGCAGTAGCTTAAAAAATGACGTTTTCAGATGTAAAAATGTTTCGGGAAGGTATGTAAATGACTTCAAGGTGCCTCGAAAATGTAAGCAATGCACTTCAGTAAAAATGACGATTGAAAACTTTTAATAAATAAAGTATTCAACATAACACGGCTTAAATTAAAAGAAACTCTTGGAATACGACACTATACATACAATTGAATTCTTTCATTTTTTATTCTAATACATTCTTACACAGTCAAGTATAGAAACACGTTTGGTTAACGAGTGTCATTGTAGAGATAATTTATAGCAAAGAAAAAAAGTAAATAATACAGCTTACATGTTACAAGCTTGTCAAGGAATTATAAGCTATAATTTGAACGCGTTCCTTTTAAAAGCGGTGTCACTTACAAGGTGTTTGTAGAATTCTCAGATACGCCCGTTGAGGTAATTATGTACTTAAATTACCACCATTTCTCTAATCCTTGGAACTAAATGGAACAGTACTCAGGTTGTTAAGTTTAGTAGTGTGAAATGTAGTATTATTGCTTTTATCACGAATTAAACTAATTTACAATTTGGACGGAAAGTCCAATTCAAATATGTTTTTATTTCATACGTAAGCACATTACGGTTGAAGTCACAAAACAATAAAATACAGTAAAAGTGCTTTATTTACATGTCACGTGTATTTCAATACTTAAGTTCAGTACGACATTTTCGCTTTGTACTTTATCGTAGAAAAATGCTTTATTTAGCTTCTTTCAAGTGCAAAAATGATTGTCGCACTTGTAATATTATCCATGGTATCATATTATCATTTTAAGTGTTATTCAATTGTAACAAATTTTCAATTTTCTTTTTATCGTAATATTTTTTTGTTACAAGAAACGAAAGTAAACTATACCGCTACAATACGGATGTTTCTTTTTAGGAGAACTGCGTAAATATCTCGAATTCGTCGTCGTTCAGCTGTTGACCGCAAGATGGCAGCACATTGATTGAAATTTCAATATAAATAGGGTATTGTACTTTCAACTATATACAAGGATAAAGTTTAAATATGTTAATAGTCCAGATAGCCGTGGTAGCCAAATGGTTTGACCTACTGCCTCTCAAGCAGAGGGTCGTACGTTCGAATCCGGGTTCGCACCTCTGAGTTTATGTGCGAAATTTAATTTGAAATTTATCATGAGCTTTTCAGTGTGCGTCGAAAAAGGTTAACAACACTCGGAAAATGTGTAAAGTTCCCAACCCGCATTGGGCCAACGTGGCGGACTATGACCTAAACCCTCACCTGAGAGGAGACTCGGGCCCAGCAGTGGGACGTATAAATGGGTTGATGTTGATGATGATCGAATAGTCTAGAATTTGTTATTTCTTTTTAAATTACAAACTTCGACTAATTATTATCAAGATTTCATAGTGTTTCAAATTACGGATGTGGGAGTTTTGGCGACAACCGTCGGATGCTTAAGGCAATTCCATTGTTTTTTTCTTCCGTGGTTGAAGTCATTACATTGGTTGCATCACTACAGAAATCACAGGCATATGGGACTTTACAACTTATGTCTCAGGGTGACGGGCGCAGTGGCAGTGCAGTCAGATCTTTGAGCTTTATGGTCGTATTCCAGAACTCTACTCAATACTAAAGTCAGAACTTGCGTATTGCAGTGAGCACTGAAAATCATACTCAAGTCCTTGCCATTAGGGTCGTATTTCCAGTGCTTGAAATCATACTCAAGTCTGCTGAAGTCCTGACTTGAGCATTGAGTAGAGTTCTGGAATACGACCCTCAAACCTGTAAGTGGCACTGAAACTTCAATGGAATGACGTGTCGCTTACTACCAGACGCACGTTCGTCCCGTCACTTGACAACATAAAAAAAATAAGTTCTATTCGGGATTTGGTATTCTTTGTTAAGTAAATATTTAATTCGTTTTTGCAAGTTTCCATCATTAGTGCTGTAAGAAACAATGTAATGTGTAGTACTATAAAGTATATTGTTGCGTGCAGTAAAAAGAGGGACTGAGATACATAGCAAAAACTGGCGAAGGACGGCATTTGATTGACACATTTCTACTAATAATAAACGTTATGTGTCACTAATTTCACGGTTGAGCCGAGTTAGCAAAGAAGCTGACTGTCAGTTGAATATTTGCGATTGTGACCTTTGGCAAATTGATGTGTTTGTGCATTATCCATATTTAAATTGTTTGGCTTGACAAGATTTTCAATTGCGAAGCCGACACGGTTATAATTTCTTTGGCACTCTGCCGCGTTTGTTTGATTCAAAATGGAATCGATGCGATCGGGTGGTATTTGTGACTTAAATCAACTGTTGTTTCAATTAGAAATATCAAAAGTTTCCTATCAGCCAGTTGTGCATCGACTCGGAAAAGACGCAGTTTCCGATCGGGAGAGGCAATCAAAATCAAGCTGCTGACTGGCTTTGGAACCGCCTTTGTGGCCGAACGGTTACCTCGCCGGACTGCTGGATAAATATTTGTATGGCCTACATTTATTTCTCTCGTGAGTTTGGGTGTAATTTGTGGTTGTCTATGTGTTTGTATCCATGGCATCCGCGGCACAGGGTTTCCCCAGTGCGAGGCTATGTTGAGTGTGTGTGTTATTATTATTTGACAGCATGTATTTATAACTTGAAATTCTAAGTTCCGTGTACTAAAGTTAAATTAACTGCCTCCGTGGCCGAACAGCTACCATACTGGATCTCACGCTGAAATTTAGATTTAAAGATTAAAACGTTATTTCATAGGTAAGCAAATTATACTTCAAATCGTCATACTGATTAAACTCTACTGCTCATTCGTAAGACAGATTCCCCTGAGAAGAATCAGCAAGAAACTCTAGGCGTTGCTCTTTGTAAATAAACATTTCAAACATCATATCACAAATAAATGGGTAACTACAACGGACTTTTGTCAGCTGTATAAAAATATCCTTTGTTATATAAGTTTTAAATAAAAAAATTGTTGATGAACCTTTATAAATAAATAAATTACATTTTGTAAGAAAAATACTTCATTCTTATGTTGCGATTTAGCAAGCTTTACACGATATGAAGCTGCCTGCACCTTGTTTGGATGCGAGATGAAATCGTTAACATTCTTTATTATCCGGCCGGTCAGTGACTCATTTCACGAAATTATTATAAATTACATTCCCATGCGAGGAGTATAGCGCCAACGTATCAATTAAGAATGCAAAATAAAAGAAACTTTAAAAAGACAAAATACAGTTCAGACTTGTTATTGAACTTAATGGAGATAAAGCCTTATTGAACAAGGGGATGCGTCATCCGCGATCAAAACGTGTGGGTAACGATCTACCAAGGACACCGGGATTTGTTTTTTGTTATTTTTAGTCGGTAACATGACTTCGGACAGAGTTTAGGTATGTAAATGAAAAAAAATTGGATGTAAATCAATTATTTTCTGGGCCTTTCGTGGCATATTCACATAATGCTTGAAAGCGGTCATGTTGTTATTCTATTAAATATGTATGATCTTAATTTTCATGCTATAGGCGCCGGCCGTAATTTCGTTCTCAGAATATTTATCTTTAATTTTGTAAACCTGCTCCCGGGATTAATTTCTATAAAACTCGATGTTCGAGAGGCATAACAAATTCACAGTTCGTGTTTGATTATGAATATATGTAAGCTATTTGCATAATTTTCCGATAATTTCTTCCCATATCTCATGGTCGATGTTAAAATTCTATAAAATCTGGCATTGAATTTTGGTTACCATACTATTAACATCCATATTATAAACATCATGTAAAAAAAGTATTCAGAAGTATCCTACAATCTCACGATTACAAATTTCTGTTATAGAAATCGAAATGAAGTTCACCAAGTATCCAGAGTCAGTGACAGCACCCGTGGGTGACGAGGTGACTTTCGAGTGTGCAGTCAGGGTACCAGGAGAACTGGCCTGGAGATGGAAGCCCGTCGACCACCCCAATGACGATTGGAAGCTGGTCTCCGGCACTACAGACAAGGAGAACATGTCTACGAAGTTGGTTATGGAGATACAACCAGATACTCCTAACTCATTTTATCAGGTTTGTGATGTTTTTGTCTACTTTGAAGAGTCACTGTCACTATCTCAATTGGTTTATGAATGATGTCTCTTACATATCGACAGTGGACGTTTGAAACATCGTAAGGAATATTTTGTCGTAATGAAAAATAGTTCTTACTACAAAATGTCGAAACTATTACCATTACATCGATGGTGGAAATTTGAAATATACTAAGAGACATTTTCATGATGGTCATTTACGACATAAAGTCCCTTACGGCTTTTCAAATTTCCACCATCGATATAATCCTATATTTTTATGTTATCAAGTGACGGGACGAGCGATAGCCTGGTGGTAGCGACACGCCTGTTCGTAGCAGTTGTAGTGCCACTCAGAGCTTTTAATCGCAAAGAACTGAGGGGCACAGCCACTGCGCTCGTCACATAGAGACAAGTTAATAAGTCCCATGTGCCCGTAATTTCACCAGCACTCTTACCCTTCAAAACCGGAACGCAGTAATGCTCGGCATTACTGCTTGCTACATTTAAGCATTTTTTTAAATAAATTTGCAATAGGTACGTAAGTTTAAAAACAAAGGTCAGTGTTAACAATCTGTGACTGTTGGTAAATGATTAAGAAAGCTCATATTGATTTTGATGTCTTCTTTCAGTGCGTGGTCTCCTACGGGGCAGTGAGTCTAGCCTCCATACCAGCTCGTTTATCCGTTGCTCGACTGGACGTCAGCAAGAGTGTACCTCGGAGACGAATGGTGCTGGTCCCGGTGGGAAATACAGTGGCGTTGCATTGCAAGGAACCAGTTTCCGATCCACCTGCTGTGCTGAGTTGGTGGAAGGAGACTGCAAAGGTGAGTTACTGGACATTTAAAGATCTCTATCATCTGGCTGGGTATAGACTTATTCTTTATTGAGTCAATTTTCACGGTCCTCTGCCATCCGTATCCAGCACGATCGCGCTAATCTGACGATATCGTGTGACCATCGGGTCGGTGGTCAGCTCATAGGCCTTGACTGGGAGTATAATCCCGTTCTTAACCCGAACAGTTACTGTCAAATAAGTAAAACTCGACCATATCAAGTATGAAGCAGTCATGTGTGTTTTGGTCGAGTATTGCTTATTTGACAGTAATTGTTTCGGAAAATGTCGGACGGAGAAAGGGAGTATGTGGCGGGCGAAGCCGTTAAAATAACGCGGTTTGCGCGCCTTTTTGTCTGTGTTTTTTCCTTCACTCTTTGGGACAGACGGAGAGTAGTGATGAAAGAGACTCAGGGTCGTATTCTAGAACTCTACTCAATGCTCAAGTCAGGATCTGAGTATGATTTCAAGCATTCGAAATCATACTCAAGTCCCTGCCATTAGGGTCGTATTTCCAGTGCTTGAAATCATACTCCAGTCTGCTCAAATCCTGACTTGAGCATTGAGTAGAGTTCTGGAATACGACCCTCAGTCTTATAAGGCGTTTTATAACGACTTGATAAAAAAAATTGAAAATGGAGATTTTGCACTCTAGAATTAAGACTGGGGGTTCAAGTTTTTATTAATAAGACTCAGTCGTTATACCAAAAGACTCAAAAGTCTTAAACGACTTGAAAGACTTAAACGACTCGAGTTGTTTGCAAAGGACTTATACCTATTTTATGCGTTATTAAACCCGAAGTTTATAAATAAAAATGACGTAAGTAGTATGTAATAAATAATCACGTATATTTACTTCTAATAAAATTCGTAAAATAAATACCTTGTGGGTAGAAATAAAAGCACACCTTACGGCTCATGACTCGCGACTCCCGAGGCTATGAGGCGCCAGTCGTTTTAGTCTTTTTAGCCGTTTTAGTCCTATAAGTCTTTCGGTTAAAAGACCTCGACTCGAATTAGTCTTCAGTTTTAGTCTTAAGTCTTAGTTTTGTCTCAAGACTTGAGGGTTAGAAAACTAGACTAGTCTTTAGGCGTTGAAAATTAGTCGAGGTTTTTTAAATGGCCTTAAAAGAGTCTGAGTCTCTTTCATCACTAATGGAGAGACTTGGAAAGGTTGTGAATTATAAATTAAGTTGTCGAATAAAAGTAAGCCTTCTATTCATGGGTGTTAACCTAAACGCACAAGTATACGCCCAACTTTGGTCCATCGTCTGTCTTTTCGTCTAGCTAAATGTCTCGCCCATCTCCACCTTAACCTTGTTATCTCTTACAACAAATTTTTTGGATTGTATCTTCGCGAGTCTTGATTGAAATACAAGGCATTAACATTTTGCTACCAATTTTGTGTTTATATCTCTGACTAGAATTGTTCTTATTTAATTGTTTTCAGAGTCACAGACGACCGATAGACACTCCCCATGGGGTCCTCGTGCTTTACAATGTGACGATGGAAGACCACGGCAACTACGGTTGTTCTGCCATCAACGAGCTTAGTGGGCAGATAGTGGATCTCCCGGAGATAACTTTCCTTAGAATCCTACCTGAAGGAACCAGAGGAACTAAGTAAGTTTGACTAGTGTATCTTATCTATTTATATCACACATTATTTAATTTAGTTACTTTCACAATTTAATGATATACGGTATTTTGCATTGGAGTAATGCCGCCGATGTTAATAGAATCTTTGTCCTGCAAAAACGTTCGGTTTCGGCAATTTATCCTTTTCACGCATAGTACTGAAATTATACTGCACCCAAAAATGTCACTACTTCTCTATGCCGAAGTGCTTATATTCATTCAATTAATACGTTTTTTCACTGACGGCGAATCCGTCAACACACATAGTTGTACTGCTATAGTTCTTGCAGATGTTTCTTGTGTATGAGAAAGTACGGCTATGATAGTAGTAGGGTGTTTGCCGTTGTGAGATAATTACAAAGTTAAACTTAGGTACTGATTAGATTATATAACGATGAAGATTATAAAATGAAAAGATCCATATAGCAAATGGAAAACAAAACAGGCGTGTCGCCATCGAGTATACATATAACCAGAAATAGAGACGAAATGTCATTTAATTGTTTGAAAACTTTTCTGCCAAATCATTACGGTGACAACTGCGCTCCGATTGGCCAGCCTGAATTCGAAACAATTGACAGGTGTCGTCAATTGTTTCACTTCAAAAAGACCAGTTTAACTTGAGCTTTGCTATAATGGAAGAAAGTTGAAAAATTACATATTTAATATTTAATTACAGATGACATATGATTCCGTTTGTTTTGTAATTAGATGTTTTACTGTTTTTCCCACACTACCGAATGAAACAGCCGCACATTGTTAGAGATATTGTCTTTATTACAATAAATACAGAACATTTTTGAAATATACGGTGACGTACACACAGGTCAGCTGTTGGCGCTGTACTATTTCAGCTTTCTAATTTGTGATTTCAGCGCAAACGAGAGTTGATATTTAAAAGTGATATAAGGCCCATTTGCCTGATCAGTTGCCAGGGATGGATGGCCTTTATTTCGTCTCTATTTCTGGTTATATAGTCGAAGCGTGTCGCTAACCACCAGGCGTACGACTCGTTCGTCTCGTCACTTGGTATTTAAAAAATCGACTGGTTGAAAACTGAAACTGTTTTGCCTTTTAGGTTCTTGGAAGAAGAGGAATACGTCGGCACTATAGACAATGAAGGTGTATTGACAATGTCAGTGTTGCCCAACACAGCGTTGCGATTGTGGTGCGGAGCGGTAGACTCGCCACCACCGAGGGTCACTTGGATTAAGGAAGGAGAAAATATGCCTCGCAGCTATGACCAGGAACTTGTCATATCGCCTTTTACAAAGTTGGATGAGGTATGTAATATAACTGAGTGTACTTAATTATGGTTCGAGGCTTCTGTTTCGGCTCAAGAGGTTGTTGAAAATATAATATTTGTTTTCTTTGTAATTTAACAGAGTCATGGAATAATCATTGGTTTTTTAAACTGATAACAAGGCTTTTTGTATGTACTTTCTCAAGATTTACGAATTAAAAATATATTGCGATATGATTGCGATATTTATTTCGTACTGTGTTCCGGTTTTGAAGGGTAAGAGTGCTGGTGAAATTACAGGCACATGGGACTTGTCAACGTATGTCTCAGGGTGACGGGCGCAGTGGCACCCCCTCAGATCTTTGCGATTTAAAGCTCTGAGTGGCACTGAAACTGTTATGGACAGGCGAGTAGCTTACCATCAGGCGCATGACTTGTTCGTCCCGTCACTTAATATTATAAAAAAAACAAAGCTAGTATAAGGTGTCGCAATGAAAATCAATGGCTTACCTCTTTTTTTTATATCAGGGAATATACTCTTGCACTGCAAACCCGTTAAACCCCATACGTCGGTCATGGAAAGTGACTGCAATGGAAGCCCCTCGATGGGAGGATCCTGTCGCAAATGTTAACGCCAGCGAAGGAGGCAATGCTCACATTGCTTGTGGTACTCCGTATGGTCAACCTCCCCCGACCATTACTTGGTATTTAAATGCTGAGCCGCTACATTCTGGCAAAGGGATAAGAGCTGTTGGTGAGTAAAATTTGTTTGATTAGCACATTAGCCCGTTCTTTAGACAATATCCTTAGGTATATGGTATATATACAAAACAGTTTTTCCCGCTTCTACTCCGGTAATCGGGCTTTAGGCTTTCATTTTAATTTAACTTAATTTCTTACGCACTTATTAGTTCTTGTTTGTGCCCGATTGTTCCAGGCTCCGATTTATATATCGAGCGCGTTGAGAAACGCCATGCTAGCATAGTACAATGCTTCGCGTGCAACCCTCTCGGCTGCGCGTACGACGCTGCTCTGCTCTCTGTTGTTCCAAAATTGATCTCTGACCAGGTACCAATGCCTTGTGTTACTATTTTAGAAATCTGTACACAAATTTATACACAATCATGTATAAAAACCGCTACGAAATTTACGCTAAAAGTTGTTTACATAAACGTAGCATCTTAACTCAATGCATTATACCTCTACTGTACCATAATAAAGTTAGCTGATGGGGTTAGAGAGTTCTCGAGTGGCGACCGCGTACTGGAAGATGCAGCGTGGGAAGACCGACGAGGTGGACGGATGATCTCGTGAAATTTACGGGAGTTCGCCGGATGCAAGCAGCGCTAAACCGATCATTATTTTAGGGGAGGCCTATGTCCAGCAGTGGACGTCTTTCGATTGAAACGATGATAATAAAGTTACAAAAGAAATATCGATCAAAAGATTACTCAGAAGTTATCCCGAACAGAGACTAAGGTCACTTGAGGTCCATTTTATGTCACGTTAACACGTGTTCAATATCACAGGAATACCCAGTTGAAGCTGCAACTCTTCATTTTCCTCCACAGCCGCCAAAGAGACACAATAGAAAGAATCCTAGAAAACACAAACGTAAGTCAATTATTAAAAACCATTAATTAAAAAAGATACCAGGCTCCCATGAGTTCGAACCATTATAATAAAACTATTGTTGTGAATATCAAAAGTACTTTTATCCTATGGATGTCATATAAATAATGCGAATTATGAAATGAAATGACACTTGTACGTAAGTAGTATGTTTGCATGCAGGCTAACTGACTACAATGCCACAAATAACACCCTCAGGTTTTTTTTCTTCTCATTACCGTCCATGGCTATAAGTGTGACGAAAAACAAATTATGTTTAAGTGAAATTTTATAATTCTCCAATCTAAGCATAAATAGTTATTTTTTCTCTCCTGAAAAGTTGTCATTTTACAAATGTTTGAAAAGCAATCTCGAGACGCAGGCTTTAAGAAGTAGGTTAATATTAGTAATTGTAGCTTATGTAAAATTTTAGTCGCTTAGTGCCTAAATGTCTACAGTTATTTTAATTTTGATTTTTGTTGTACGTAACATGGTAACGTATTTATTATTATTTGAATTGTGGTGTTCCATATTATGACAGGCCACATAGTCAATGACAGGCCATGACAGAATAACAGCGTGGGCTATATAATCAACATAGTCCTCAGAGGCTGAGTCATGGACCCTTTTGACATGCTTTTATTTTTTTAAATTTTAATTTATTATTTTGTATGCTTCTTTTTTATTTTAATTGAATTTATTTTTATTAATTTTTTGTAGTTTTGTTTGAAATTTATGCATGTCAATTAAAGTCTATTTTACGTGGAATACTTTCTTCAAACGTGAACGGGGCCTCTGCTGAGGAACTTCTTTTCCAACAAAAAAGGAATCATCGAAATCGGTACACAAATGTCGGAGTACCTCCTCGTTTATTACTTTATTGAAGTCGGTTAAAAGGGAAACCAGTTTTTGATCCAAAAAAGAGCCTAAGGAGGGCGAAATCAATAAGATTTTTTCTAATCCCGTATAATAATACATAATATAATTTTCAGCGGTATTGGTTCCGGCTTCGAAGCCCAACGTGACGCGTCTTTCTGATGAGAGTGTAATGGTTTCTTGGACACACAATAATGTTAACCATGGACTGCCCATTACGTTTTTTAAGGTAAGTCGATAAAGATTAATGTTGTGACCTTTTTAACGTCTGATTGCTTTGTATGTCTAGCTAACTCTATCATGTCAAAGAAAAATACTGCAAGTCCCATTACAAC